AGACCTAGTTTTCTGAGGAATCTCCAAACTGATTTCCACAGTGGTTTCACCAGTCTGCATTCCCACCAGCAGTGGAGAAGAGTTCCTTTTTCTCCACAGCCTCGCCAGCATTTGTTATTGGTTGATTTCTTAATGCTAGCCATTCTTACTGGGGTGAGAGCCAATCTGTTTTTAAAGGAAATGAATTCATCTCTCCCTTCACAGGAAATCTGCACCAAATGTAGACTAAATGAAAGATGCTTGGACTGGTAGATGATGTGCAGTTCAGAAGTTCTGTTAAGTCTTGAGTGTTACGTGGATTGAAAAATCTGACTCAGCATTGATGACCATCAGAGAGCAATGTAAAGCCATCTACATGTCCTGTGAAACAAATTGAGGAACTTCCATGCATTCGAAAATAAAATGTTCTCTTCTGAAAACTTTATGTTTATGTTTCCTATCGCAATTTCTAACTCACTGTTCCTCCTTATCACACTACCTACCCCCAATGTTCCCCATTTATTTTAAAATTTTTTATTAATACCTCTCTGCAATGCATAATGATTACATCCATTGGGGAGAATTGTACATGTACCTAACCTATCTCAATTCTTTTTCCTCTTCTGCCTTTTAAAAAATGTTTGCTCGAGGTAGGAATGCAGCTCAGCAGCACAGCACCTGCCTGGCAAGCATGAGGTCATGGAGTTTGATTCCCTGTACCCCCCCCAAAAAAATTGCCAACATTGGAATCATTTATTTATTTTATAAGTCCTTACCAATTATCATAAGTACACATTAACAGCTAGACTAACAAGCCAAAAAGTATAAAAAACACATAAGATAATTAGACAAAATCAAGGTACAATTTTAGAACATTGTCTGTGCTGGATTACAATAACATACTTCTCTCTTTTTTTCTGTTGTCTGTCTTTTATTTTGTACTTTATTTATACATTGCACTTCTCAAATAAGAAAAAAACGTGATATTTAAGCACATGCCTGATTAACTTCATTTAGCATTATGGTGTCAAAGTGCATCCATTTTCCTAAAAATGACTCAAATCTATCCTTTATAGCAGGGTAGTACTTCATTATGTATAACTACCACGTTTTCTTTAAACACTCATCTGTTGATAGACACATAGGCTGATTCCAAGATTGACCTATTATAAATTGTGCTCATCACTATAATATGATGTCTTTAAATCTTTTGGGAAGATACCTAGGAGAATAGCTAGACAAAATAAAATTTCTATTTTTAGTTCATTGAGGAATCTCCATATTCATTTCTGTCATGCTTATACCGATTCATACTCTCACCAACAATGAAGAAGGGCTTCTTTTTCCCCCACAACTTCTCCAGCATTTACTATTATTTGATTTCTTGATGATAACCATTTTTTCTGGAGTGAGATGAACTCTCAGTGTTATTTTAATTCACATTTCCCCAGTGGCCAATAATGTTGAAATTGTTTTCATTGTTATAGTTTGTGTCTGCATGTCTCCCTAAATCCTCATGCAGTCATGGGGCAGTCTTCTAGTTTTATGATTGATTCATGGTCCAATGTTGGAATTATGGATGTGAGTGCTACACCCACCCTGGGGCAGATAGTTTGCACACAGTGTAAGGGAGAGAAAGAGGCTGCTTGCCACCGCTCCTCCCTTTTGCTGTTGTTGTTTTTGCTGTTTTCCACCACCATGAACTGTTGCCCTCTGCCATGTGCCACTCTGCCTTGGAGCCAGCTGAGTACAGACTGAAACCTCCACAAACTGTAAGCTAAATAAACCTTTCCTTCCTTAATTATGGGTGTCAGGTATTTTGTCTCAACAATGAGAGAAAAGTAACCAAGACATTCATATACTGATTGTACATTTGTACTTCTTCACCTGAGAAGTGCCTCTTCATTCCAGATGCCTATTTTCATTGGGTCTTTAAATTTAGTGGTTCTAAATTTTTTAGTGCTTTTTATATTCTTGATATTAGTCCTTTGAGAGGTAACTGGCAAATATCTTTACCCATTCTGTAGGTCATCTCTTCACTCTGTTAAGTTTCCTTTTGTATGCAGAAACTTTTTAATTTTGTGTGATTCCATTTATAATTCTTGGTATTATTATTATTATCATTATTAATATTATTATTATTTGCCTATGCCTATGTCTTTAAGGGTTTTACTTGTTTTGTCTTCCACGAGATTAATGTTCCTATCTTATTATTTAGATCTTTGATCCACTTGACTTTAGCGCATGGTGAGAGCTATGGATCTTGGTTCAGTCTCTGGCATGTGGATGACCAGTATACCCAGCACCATTTGTTAAAGAAGCTACATTCCCATACTGAAAGGATTTAGTCCCTTTGTCAAAGATGAGGTAGCTGAATGTTCCTGGAGTTGTTTCTGCGTCCTCTGTTCTGTTCTACTGATCTACAAGTCTGGGTTTGTGTGTGTGTGTGTGTGTGTGTGTGTGTGTGTGTGTGTGTGCCAATGTCTTGCTGTCTTATCACTCTAGCTTTGTAGCACAACTTGATGTCCAGGATTGTGATGCCCCCTGCTTTACCCTTGTTGCTCAATATTACTTTTGCTATTCTAGGTCTCTTCTGGTTCCATGTGAATTTTAAAATTGTTTTCTCTAGTTCTGTAAAGAATGCTATTGATACATTGATTAGGATTGTATTAAGTCTATAACAGTTTTGGAAGTAAAACCATTGTGAATATAATTTTTCTGCCTATCCTGGAACAGGATTCATTTTCATTTTCTGAAGTCCTCCCCATCTCCTTCTTCATAGTAATGCAGTTGTCATTGAAGAGATCTTTCATTTCCTCGGTTAAGGTAATTACTAAGTATTTCATTTTTCTTGATATTATTCTGAAAAATATTGTGTCCCTAATTTCTCTTTGGCTGTGTTTATTGTGTCATCTGCAAATAAATATAGTTTAACTTTTTCTTCTGTCCTATCCATATTCCTTTTATTCCTCTTGTATGATTGCTTTGGGCAATATTTCAAGGACTATATGGATCTGGGGTGCTGATGGCAGATATCCTTGTCTTGGTTCTGACTCTAGAGGGAAAGATATCAGTATTTTTCCATTTAGAATGATTTTGACCATGCGTTTGTCACAGAGGCCTTTTATCAGATTGAGATAAAGACCTTCTACACCTATTTTCTTCAAGCATTTTATCATGAATGGATGCTGGATTTTGTCAAATGATTTTTTCTGTGTCGATTGAGACAATCATGTGATTTTCATCCTTCTTTCTGCTCATGTGATCTATTACATTTATTGATTTGCATATGTTGAAACATCTCTGCATCCCTGAAATAAATCCTATTTGGTCATGATGCATGATCTCTTTGATGATTTGCTGCAGTATACTTGCCATTATCTTACTGAGGGTTTTTGCATCTATGTCCATTAAAGAGATTGGCCTATGCTTCTCTTCTTTGGTTGGATATTTTTTTTTAGTTTTGGAGCAGGTAATACATGCTTTTCAGAATGACCTTGGGAGTTCTGCTTCCTTTAGATTACATTAAAGAGTTTGAGCAGTATTGGCATTAACTCTTCTCCAGCATTCTTGTAGAATTTGGAAATGGATCTGTGAGGATTTGAACTTCCCTTAAAAGGTGTTTTTTTAATTATTTCTTCAGTTTCATTGACTGATATTGGATTATTAAGGATTTTTATGTCTTTTGGGTTCAGCTTTCATAGTTTATATGGATCTAGACATTGATGCATTTCTTGTGAATCTTCCATTTTATTAGACTATTGGTTCTCACAGTCATTACCAATGTCCTTCTGGATTTTGGAGTAATATGTTGTGATTTTGTCTTTTTCATTTCTAATTGCATGGATTTGGGTCTTTTCTTTCCTCATTATTAAAATTGGCTAAAGGTTTGTTTATTTTGTTTATTCTATCAAAAAATCAATACTGTGATTTATTGATACTGTTAATTGCTCTTCAATTTCATTAACTTCTTTACTGATCATTATAATTTCCCTCACTGTACTAGCTTTTGGCTTAGATTGTTCTTGTTTTTCTAGAAACTTGAGGTGCACCATTAGGTTATTTATTTGAGCTTGCTCTTTTTCTGAAGTGGGAATTCACTGCTATAAACTTCCCTTTTTAGGACTGCTTTCATTATGTTCCATAGGTTCTAGTATGCTGTATTGGCATTATCATTTGATTTTAGGAACAGTCTAATTTCTTCTTTAATTTCACCTATAACTCATTGATTATTCAAGAGGGTGTTATTTAATTATCATGTGTTTGCATAATTTCTGGGGTTTCTTTTTCCATTGATTTCTAGTTTCACTGCACTATGATCTGATAATATGCATGAGATAATTTTGTTTCCTTTGTATTTACTTAAGTATGCCCTGTCAGCTAATATTTAGTCAATTTTGGAGAATGTCTCATGTACTGCTCAGAAGAGTGTGGATTTTGTTGCTGTTGGATGAAACACTCTGTAGATATTTATAAAGTCCATTTATGTGAAGGTTTGATTAAATTCTAATATTCCTTTGCTGGTTTTTTATTTGGTTGATCTGTCCATTTGTGGGTATTGAGGCATCCCATTACAGTTACATTGGTGTTCATCTGATTTTTCATATCCATTAGAGTTTATTTTATGAAGTTGGGTATACAAGTATTTTGTTCATATATGTTTTATGCTATTTGTGGTTTTTTCTAATTTTCACTTATCTCAGTTACTCTTAGCTTAGTCTTGTGTAATCTATCAGTTCTTGGATCCATTTTTCATTTTAATCTCCTGGATTTCGAGCTGGGGATATAGCTCAGTGGAATAAGCGCCTGCCTGGCCAGCACAAGGTCGTGAATTCGATCACCGGTACCGCAAAAAGAAAAAAAAAAATCTCCGGGATTTCTTATTGAAACCATTTCATGGACACTAATTCTTGGTTAAACTGGTCATTCATGTTTTGTATCATTTTGCTTAGCCTATTTAGCTTTTTATTCTTGTCTTCTGAAAGCTCTTGAATCATTTCGGTTATTACTTCCATTATCTGTTGTTATATTTATTGTGATCCTACTGAGTACCACTTTGATCTGTTTTCTAAATTCCTTTGTTATTCTTTTGAGTAATTTGGGTGTGTGGGTTATGCTATTCTGCCAGTCAGTGCCCCCTAGATAGCTTTAGGGGAGTTGGGAGTTTAGAGACCAATTTCATTGACTTGTCTTCTCATGTTTCTATTGTTTTTGTTTGTTTGATTGTTTTGTTTTATCCTCAGATTTGTGGACAGTTATAGTGCAATATGACTGTAGCTGATTTGCTTGATATTACCAAGGTTACATAGTTGTTACTATTTCTCTGTAAACCAACAATCAGATTACCTTTGTGATATTAACAATGTTAGAAAACATTCCAAATGAGCTTAGTTATTTGGCTAATTACTTCCTCCTCCCCTCCCAAATTAACCAAGATAGT